CACGAGAAATTTTGATTATCTTTAAAAATCTTTTATTATCTTCAGAGTCCTTTTAGGCACTCGTTGGGTATTAGTCTCGACGAGTGTGCAATTGTTATTCATTTCTTAAAATTGCTACTGTCTCTGGATTTTGAAAATAGGCTCGTAGAAATAACATGATTGGAAGTAAAAGTAAGACTTACTTGTCCATGTTTGATCTAAGCAGGATAGCATATTAATTTACTTTCCTCCGCGAGTGTATCCATCTTGCACGTGCAAAAAGTATTTATATTTTTTTTTTTTAGCAGGTGTATAACTTAAAATCGTAGCGATCAATCTTTCGATACAATTGTCGACAATCCTAAATTATATTAATCACGAGAAATTTTGATTATCTTTAAAAATCTTTTATTATCTTCAGAGTCCTTTTAGGCACTCGTTGGGTATTAGTCTCGACGAGTGTGCAATTGTTATTCATTTCTTAAAATTGCTACTGTCTCTGGATTTTGGAAATAGGCGAGTAGAGATAACGTGATTGGAAGTGAAAGTAAGACTTACTTGTCCATGTTTGATCTTAGCAGGATAGCATATTAATTTACTTTCCTTCGCGAGTGTATCCATCTTGCACGTGCAGAAAGTATTTATATATATATTTTTTTTTTTTAGCAGGTGTATAACTTTAAATTGTATCGATCAATCTTTCGATACAATTGTCGACAATCCTAAATTATATTAATCACGAGAAATTTTGATTATCTTTAGAAATCTTTTATTATCTTCAGAGTCTTTTCAGGCACTCGTTGGGTATTAGTCTCAACGAGTGTGCAATTGTTATTTGTTTCTTGAAATTGCTACTGTCTCTGGATTTTGGAAATAGGCTCGTAGAGATAACGTGATTGGAAGTGAAAGTAAGACTTACTTGTCCATGTACTGCGTCAGTCTGACGTACGCGATGCACGCGGCGTCCTCGCCGAGCAAGTGCACGTGGGGGTTCAGGATCGTCGTGTTCACGGCTTTGCAATTCTTCCCCAGGACTGCTTATATATTCGAAAAAAAAAAAGAAGAAAACGCTAGTTATTTATGAATCTGTGAATGTACGTTCACACACCACTGATAATCTTGAAAAAAGGGAAACTAAGAAAGGTAGATAACTAAGGAAGAACAGAAAAAGTGATCGAGCAAGGAAGGATCTTAATTTCCATTCTCATATTTACTAAACCATTCCAACAGTGAACGAACAAAATAAATATTCTGGAAGAGAAAGATATCAACACCATGGCTACCATTGCGTTTCTATTTTCACAGAGTATTCTAATTAATAATTCATTTAAAGTGTTTTAGAACAATTAAAGTAAGAGAAATGATCTTCGACGAAGGAACGATATTATTTTAATATTCCACGAATTATTATTACGAAATCATAATAGAAAATTATTATGTTCCGTGAGATATTCATAAATAAATAAATATATAAATAATTATATATAAATAAATACATAATTTACATATAAATACAAATAAATAATTATATATAAATAAATACATAATTTATATATAAAAACAAATAAATAATTATATATAAATAAATACATAATTTATATATAAATATAAATAATGTTGCGTAAATATTCGTGACTGTCGACTAAAAGATTTCTACATTACATATTCAATATAAAGTATGAAATATAATTTTTATATTTCGAGAGAAACTTTGTTCGTTCAGTGTCGGTGATTAATAGAAAGATGGAGGAAATCAATCGAGCAAAAAAGTGCAATAAGAAGCTGTATCAAGGTTTGTTAAATTCGACGACGAATTCACCGATCGATCGGAGATTTCAACGCCTGCGTAAGGAACGCGTTCGCTATGTTTATTCGGGGAGGCACGGAAGCAAAGATTCGAGATTTCGGGACGCGGCATGCAGCAATGAAATAATAGGACAGAATCGAAACGTGGTGCTGTGCGCTCTCAACGCGGTACGATTAACAGTGGATGCAAATGAGTCGTAATTACCATTATCAAAGTAAAATTTGTGGAAATCCATTCCCTCGACTAAATTACCTAGAGCCTCTGGCTCGAACGTAGTCAGATGTGGATCACAGATTTTCCTGCAAGCGTAAGGTACATTAGAGGCCGAATTGTTTTCAGGCTCGACTCTCACTGAAATTTGCGTAACAATAAGAGATAAAAATTAACGATGAAATATTAACAACTGGCGGTGTCAATTATCATTTACAAGGTTAACAGGTTATCAATTCCCTTTTGAAACTGCTATTAATCAATGAAACGTGTTTAGAATTAATTCGAATTTTCAAGATTCCTCTTATCTTGCTAAACACAACAGTTTTATTAATTTCAGATGTTCAATTTTTATAATCACCCCGAAAGAGAGTTTCTAAAAAATGTTTTCTAAAAGTAAAAGATTAACATAATTTTTCTTTCAGATTCTCCATCGCAAAGACTCTTTACGTTTTGTCATATTGTTTCCGTGATAAGTCTTGCCCTCCAAGATTTTGACAATCTTCTCGTCACGATTCATTACATTATCTTTCGCTGATTTCGTTTCTCCTCACCGAAATGTATCCATCATCGTGTCACTTACGTGTACGCCTCGAAATCCCCGGTGTTGATGCTCTCGATAAGTTGTTCGGTCATCTTGATGATCTCCTGACGGCGTGCTGGAATCGTCAACAGATTATCGATCTGCGGAAACGGCGCGATCGGCGCGCCTGATCGGGTCTCAGTGGAGAGAGAGAGAGAGAGAAAGAGAGAGAGAGAGAGAGAGAAAAAAAAGAAAAAAAAAAATTGAAAGTAAAAAACGATCAGGGCTCATACCGACACATCGTACGGCACAACAGTCACATGCACGAATCTTTATCAACTTCTACGTCCTACGCCAAAGGCTTTCTTATCTTATTAGAATACATATGTATAATGTACAACGATATGTCACCCATTGGAGTCGTCTCAAAAATCAAAAAAAATGTCACACATTACCTTCGCGTATTTACATCCAACAATCTCTCTTCAACTAGTGAAAAATATTTCGATATACGAGACTCCAATGATCGCGGTTCTCAAATGGTTCGAAAAGTGAAAAGTGAAATTCCGTCTCTCTTTGGAAATTTCACTTCTAATCTGTTATTATATGCAATTCCAATAGCCGGCAGATTTGGAAGAAACGGAATGTAGATGAAAGTTCATTTCATCTATTTTGCGTGAATATTCTATTTTAAACGTTTGATATATTTTCGTATGTCACACGCGCTTCTGTATCTTTCAATTCTGCAAAATCCACGAGAAAGAGGTCGAATAGTAAAGAGATCACCATTTGAGAATCGAATTTTCATTCTTCGCCCTTTCAAACTCCCTTTCTTTTCCATTTGATATGCACCGATTTCCAAAAAAAAAAAAAAAAAAAAAAAAANTTTCCAAAAAAAAAAAAAAAAAAAAAGAAAAGAATGATCCCTCCAACAGGAGACGAATTTTAAAAACTCGTCAGATTTTTAAGAAAGAAAAAAAGAAAAAAAAAAAAAGAAAGAAAGAAAGAAAGGAGGGAGGAAAAATAAAACGACGCAAACCGGTGCAATCTAGTCAAATGGAAGCAATCGAGCGTGTCTCGTCGTTGCACGCGTCGTTTGAATCAACTCGTTCTCCTAGGTTCGATCGTCGTTAGGGTTGCACGGCTGGTTCAACGTTGCAACGACGAGGATTTCGAGGAGCCGAGCAAAAATTCGTCGAGAGAAATCGTCGCTTCGTCGCGACGAGGAAAAGCAAAGAAAAATAAAAAAGCACGTCGACCTCTCGACGAGCTCGTCACTAGAGAGAGAGAAAGAAAGAGAAAAAGAGAGAGAGAGAGAGAGAGAAGGAGAGAGAGAGAGAAAAAGAATCGATACTGTCGTTCTTCTCTCGTTGTTCACAACTGCTAGAATCTTCCTGGATCCTTGAAGAGTAACTCCTTCAACATTGCTTCTTTTCTCGTTTTTTTTCCTTTTCCTCTTTTTTTTTTTTTTTACCTTTTTCTTATAATTAATCCTTCGAATGTAATAATTACCTTGTAATCGGTAATTATTCTCGTTTCCCTTTCACACAAGGTCAGAGTGTTAAGTATCTTAAATTGGACGGACGGCGGCGCGAAAAACTTTCCGCGCGAGTTTCAAATTTTTTTTCTTTTTCTTTTTCGTTTTTTCCTTTTTACTCAACCTCGATTCCTAGGGAATTTCCGGGGGCCTCGCCCTCGTCAGTTTTAATCCCTAGCGAGCGGTTTCCGCGCGAATCTGAAATTCTGTTCGAAATTCTCGGCTAGCCTAGCGTTGCGGTTCGTCGCGCGGAAATTTTCGAAATGGTTCACGCGCATCTCCTAGCCCTTAGCGAGCAAGTTTGCGGCGTTGGAAAAAATTCATAAATAAATGCGCCAACGTGGTTAGTCGTTTCTACTGTTGATCGTTGATCGTACGATATATATATATATATATATATCGTGATAAAAGCTGAAAATGCTGTTTAACTCGGCGACCACCACCCTCAGCGTAAAATCACAGTAGCCGTAACTACCCTACTGCGCACCACAGCAAGCAGAGACAACGATACGTATGACACGCGTTGCGCAAAAAGTTCGTGAAGTATGAACGAAGAAGAACAAAAAAAAAAAAAAAAAATGAAACAAAGTATAGTGTAATATTCTATGCGTCTCAGTACGTCATATTCTCTCATCATAGTGTAGAATTAATATGACTGATCTGCTCGATAGAGAGAATGATAGATATAATAGATATAGAGATAGTGAGAGAGAGAGAGAGAGAGAGAAAGAGAGAGATTTGAGAGATGTGAGTGAGATAGGTTCTTCCGTTACCTGAACACTGGGAGTTCGTCGAAAGCTGGCTGCAGGTCTTGATAGGACACACGATTCTTATTTCTACAAGCAATATATATATAATATTTACATGTACATGTTTATATATAGATACCCTTCTTTCTTTTTTTTTTTTAACACGTGCGCTTTTCGCATTTTTCTTTCGTTGTTTTTTCTTTTTTTCTTTATCTCGCCGCAAGGTTCTTTCTGCGTGTTTTAAGCGTGACTTTGCGGAAGATTAAGGCCCGCGAAGTGTGTCTGCTTTCGATTTTGTCGATTTTCTCGGTTCGTTTCGGGGCACCTTTTGTTAAATAAGAAAGAAAAAAACGTTGTCTTGAAACCTCTTCGTTACTGCGAGAGTTTAAAAAGAAGATTACGCAATGAGTAACCAAAATAAGAAGTGAACCATAAACAACGGTGAACCGGTATGATGCAGATAATTAAACAATCTTTTTTTATAAATAGTGTTTCCTAATGCACGAATGTATAAATGTTCATTAATAAAATAACAAGGTAAAAGAAGCTGTTTCTTTGAAGATTCACAGATTCTTCAAAAATTCAACAACCACTTTTACTATACATGGATCGTTCTTATTTCACAGAAATATCTATCGATACATAAATCTACATTCATGTTCTTTATAAAGGACTTTAGAAAGGATTCCAACGAATCCTCTAAATAAAGTGCAAAAATAAACTAAGCTAAGCAAACAGAATAATTAAGTAATTAAAAATAAACAAACTACAAACAGAGATCGGAATTAACAGCATTAATTAAGCATCCGAGTTTCAAATGAAGGATCTCACTATCAATAAGAGCCAATATCGGTGAAAGAGCAAGAGTAGATAAGAAATTTTTGTTTCTGACGCAGTAACGAAATGGTTAAACTTTATAGTCGTTCCTTCTCACTCATTTCGTTTTTAATATTCTTCAATAGAAAGACTATCCTTCGTTCAGAGAGACAGACGGAGACAGTCGAGAGAGAGAGAGAAAGAGAATCGCGGAGCTTAATCCACGCGCAAGAAGATTAACCGTCTCCTCAGGTCCCATCTCGTCCTTGAAAGCGTTTGCTCTTCTTTCCTGCAACTCCTTCCCTCTTGGCCAGCCCCTCAATGCCAACGCCCCTTTCGGAATTTCTTCGTCCTCGCTCAGCGAGAATTTTTTTTCCGAGACGGATTTTCGTTTCCCTCGCGACAAACTTTTCTCGATTCTCGATTAGATTTCTCTCTAGTTTCCTTTCGTTTTGACACTGTGTGTTACGTCACGATACAGACGATACGGCGCGGTGCGTTTCTTTTTTTTTTTTTTTTTTTTTTTTGGGCTTTGAACCAGATATTAGGGACGTGTGATCTTCGATCTTAGGCTCGAGCCTAACCGCGACTAGCTTGGCCGAAGAATCAGTGAGCTCGGTATCTAGTGAAACGACGATGCACGACAGATGATTCATTGATTCGTTTTTTTTTCTTCTTTTCGGTTTGAGACAGAATCTTGTAGCATGTTGCAAGAGAAATTTATTGTTTCGGGCTTTTGACTTGAAATATAATTTTATGGAATACGGGTAATATATAGAATATATATAATTGTTTGAGAGAGAACAAGTACGATTTTAATTTGCGAGAGTATTCGAGCATTTGGCTTGAAATAAAATTTACGTAGAATATACGTAATGGATAAAATACATAAATAATCTTGACATGAGAGAATTTTACAAGACGTAGAATGAAATGTTACGAACAGACTGAAATATTACCGGAGTTAATTTCAACCGTCAGATCAAATATTCAAATACAAAATTGTCGAAAATTCTCTAAAAAAAAAAAAAATCCACGAGGGTTAAAAATCGTAGCGTGCCGGAAACGGAAATTAAAATTTCATTGCAACGACAGAAAAGAAAAAAAATCGAAAGGAGGAAAGTAGTTCGGGTCAGTCAGCGATTAGACCGCGCGAGAAATTCATGATTCTCAATGAATCACCTTACACACGTGCACGTAACGCAGTTGTTCGCAACAAGAATAAAACATGTTGAATTTCTCTCTCGTATGAAAATAAAGGAAAAAAAAAAACTGAATGAAAAATAGAATGAAAAGAAACACCAGAACAAAGAGATATATATATTGTAGCTTTTACAGCAATGTCGAAACGACAATGAAACCTCATAATTATAATACGAGAAGCGTTTAATAAAATAGAAGCCTCGAGTCATCTGTGACTCGTTCCTCCTACGCGCGAATTCTCCTCTTATTTCTTTTTCCTCGGGAAAAGAAAGATACTGCTAGGCAAAACATCGCCTAAGGTCCGTTAAAAAAAAAAAAAAAACAAAGAAAAGAGAACGCTGTTTTTTCTACCAGCAGACACTAGCTTAAAGTATAACGTAATTAACTACGAAGCCTGTCCGATCGTTCGTTTCGTTTCTCATACAATACAACGAATCGGGTTTCACAAGTTTATTGACACGTTCACAGTTTGCGCCTACACATGGATTACACGTGGATTTTGTAGCGTGAACGACAGCCTAAGTTTAATATTTCTACGCGAATAAAATATCATTTCGGCGTCGGTGTTTTCGATGTTTGCTTGACGATTTGTTGTTGTTGACGATATCTTTGATGATAAATCTTTAATTATAATTCTTTACAACACAAGTGTTTCGTTGTAACTCTTTGTGACACGAGTTAATTAGTTATTCGATCATTTTCGTCAACGACGGTTTTCTCGATGGATTTTTACATCGACGATGAATATTTTCTCGTTTCTCTTTTTCTTTGATCAATTACAATTACAATGTTTCGATTAATATAATTACATTTACAATGAAATCACTTGGAAACCATTTGCAAAGTGTAGGTTTGATCGTTTAATTCCGTGGATAATGATCTTTCTGTGAATTTGAATTTGGAAAAAGGATAATCTTCGAAGCAATCGCTAGAGTCGGATCTAACATGAAAATCTACGAAATTTATTATGTCAAAGGGAGGTTATCTTCCAGTGTCGAATATTGAAAGAAAATTGAAATATCTTCTCGCGCGTTTGAAAAAAAAAAAGAAAACACTCGGTTGCAAAAATTTCAAATCTACGAGCGTCTATCTACAATTTATCTACAAGTGTAATAAATAAACAACAATTACTACTCTATTCCAAAATATAGCACTGGTGAAGTGCTTTTTAAAAAGCAAATGAAGACAAAGCCACTTAAAGTTCCTTCGAACTATAAAATTACTTAAATGCTTTTGTCCTTGTGGATACCTGAAGAAAATCATTCGAATATTCTACATTCAACCTCCTTCTCTTTTTTTTCTTTTTTCTTTTGTAAACCATTAAACAATTTAAAAAACGCACGTTCGAAAAGTCACAGATTCGTTCAATTTGTTGAATTAGTTGAAACTAACATTTCGTCAAAGGCGTTTTTAACGCCGCGTTTCGTTTTCTGGCGAGGGGAAATGATATTTTACGAGCGCACTAAACCTCTACGATACAGAATACGGGGCGAAAAATGAGGAATACGCGCGAAAACAATTTCGATTTCGTTCGGTTCGCATGCTCCGCCTCGTACAAACGGCGATTGTGCGAGCGTTGCGTTTGTTCGATGTAAGAAAGAGGGTGGGCGGTGGAGAGAGAGAGAGAGAGAAAGAGGGTGAAAGTATCGTGAAATACCAGAGACTCTTCGTTTTTTTTCCTTTTTCACGGACGTTTCTACTTGCACGAAGGTTGAATGCTGCAAGAGCATCCCACGACGCTTGCTTGGCTGCATACCTGTCGATGGGGGGAGGGAGGGACTGCTTGTCTGACCAAAGTCGATACTTACTACTTGCCGGATGCCACACGTCCAAAATCAAACCGCGACTGAAAATCCGTGACACGACGAAAGTGAATTGAAATTGTCGATCGCAGATAATTAACGTGGAACCGAATCACTCGTTCGGACATCATTAAAAAGTGTTCACATGGCGACGAAGAACTATCAAGTATAATTTTGACGAAGGTTCGTGAACGAAGTTGAGAATAATTCTGTCGTGTCACGGATCGATTCAACCAGAGGTTTACCAGAGAGAGGAGAGAGAGAGAGAGAGAGAGAGAGAAAAAAGAAAGAAAGTTGTTGGCATCCAAAAAAAAAACGTTGGTCATGTCGAAAAAAATGGGATGGTTTTCCAAAAGGCAAAACAAGAGACATGCGGAGAGAGCCTGTTCGCGACACGGCACGATCCCCGGGAAAAACTTGTAAATTGATTAACAATTTTTAACAATCGTTTATCAATTTTCAACGATCGAAAAACGTTTCGACGAAGATAGAATAAAAATTGGAAAGATTCTTCTTTGACCTTTTTTTTTTTTTACAATCGATATTGCAACGTTCTATGACACTTTAACACGTTTTGTATACTGTTTCTCCCGTTTGTAAAATCGTATCTGAAGAAATGTATTTCTATTGTTCATAAAATTAGACTGAAAGATGGCAAAACAAAAGCAAAAGTGAAACATTGTATTTCTAAAATTTCCATTTATTAATAATATTCATTTATTAATAAAGGTAACAATTTTGCGAATCGTACAATCTTCCAAGGATTTCAATCTCTAAATGCACAATCTCGAGTCTGAAGTTTAAAATTAATAATGTTAAAATACTGAATATTTGCAGTATGTCGAATACGAAATTTTCATCTACGAGACGTAAATTTTCATTTACAATAACTTTTACGAAACGAAACTTTTCAATTTCGAACGTTACATCATCAGGAAATTAAATCTCGTGTATAATTGTCATTTTGCTGTCACCCACTGTCATTCCACAGTGGAGTATAAAATAATATCGTCTCGATACTAGAACATGGAACAAAATGATCCAAAAATTGGAAATTCACTCGAATTAAATCCTTTTCTTTTGCGAAGATTAAAAGATTAAATCCGAGATATTCCTAGGCCAGTTGCAGTCAACGTTTCAACTGCTTGCATTGAAAGAAAAAGGTAAGAAGAATCCCGAGGAACCAGAAGAGAAAAGAAATGTCGGACAAAGCGATGGAACCAACGAAGAAAGATCACGATCATTCGATCGTGCTGCGTCGCGAGGCTCGATAGAACTTCACGACAACAAGCAACACCGGCTAAGCTTCGAGCAGACGTCCTCGTCCATCTTATCTTTCGACTTCTCAGCGACCTTACCGGCGTTGGTGCTCTTCTTACCATCTTCGAGGTCGCAGCACTCGGCTTGACCAAGTGGCATGTATCCGGAACCGCCCACGCGTCGAATCTCCAGCTCTGATTCGTTTTTATCGTTTCGTTTCGTTTGGCGTTTTTTTTTTTCGTTTCGTTTCGTTTCGTTTTTTGAGAAGAGGAGAGAATTCATTCCAGATTTTCGGAGTTCATTTCGCATGCATTTGGAATTCGAGGCGGCATTGTCAGCGATGCGAGCAACCGGAGAAACATGCAGAGAAAACACACACAGGGAGAAAGAGGGGTCATCGAACATGTCGTCTCTTGCAGAAAGAAAACTAAAAGAAAATGGGCGGCTCTAAGGTCGCTTTCCTCTCTGGCCGAAGCGGGACGTGGATGAAATTTGAAAAATAGGAAGTTTAATGCATCGTTTTTTTTTTTTTTTGTTTTATTTTTTTGAAGCAAATTAGATTCTAAGCAACGTCAAAGTTTAGAGACTCTCCGAGTAATCTAAACGTTTGAGATAGTTTAATTTGATTAATATTGCCGAATTTCCTTTTCAATTCAAGAATTGTCTGTTCGCGGACTTTAGGGATTTAACAGAGAATTAAAAACTTGAGACTTTAATTTGGTACTTGGAGCAATACTAACACTTTGAGACTTGAAGATTCGTCAACTTTCAACGATACGAGATGTTAATTTTTTAATCTGATGTTAGAAACAGAATTTTGAGGCAAGATTCGAATGTTGCAGAATGTTACAGTTTTGAATGATGGATTGTTCCATTAACAGATCTGAGATCATTCGTTTCATTAAAAAGTTCCAAGTTCAATGATAAACAGCTTGTGTTTCAAACGAGTTAAAGTAAGTTTCCAGGTAATTTTGAGCAGAGTTGTTCCAATTTCGAGTCACTTCAAAGTTCACCTTACGTTAATATAAATTTTCACACACTTAATTGCTTCGAGTTTAGCTCGAAATTCGAATTTTTCGCAACTTTATCGATTTCGAGCCGATTCAGAGTCCCATTTTATCCAAATTTAGTCCCATTCGTTTATTAAAAATCTGGGTTATATATCCTCGTTGATCAATTTTGAACCAAATTTGAACTCACGAGAACTGAGCGAGTTTTTATAAATTTATGTCGAACGAGTTTTGAACGAATACTACGTACGCGACGTATTTGACGAATTGAATTTGCATTAATCCGAGACTCGTGTTCCTTTCTTGAGCCAATTTTCAAACGCTAACGACTCGGCGTCGCTCTGAGAAAATCGTTATCGAGGCTCGAGGAAGCCAAGCGCTGGAGAAGAAAAAAAAAAATACGTTTCTTTCAGCGTTCCATTTGCCAATTGCAATGTAAAAGTGTCGTCCATTTGTGAAATGGCGAGCTGATTTACGAGGCCCCGCCGCGATAAATGCACTTTCGGCTATTACGGGAATCAATCAAGCCGCACAAAGCCGCGTTTCCATACAATGAAACGCATTATCGACGATCGTTTCGTTCGATCGCAATTCCCGCACGCGGAACGCAAAATATATAACGTCGATTTTCATTTAAAACTTTCGCTTTGCCAAGGATATTTGCCGAACACGACGTTTGAATCGTGTCTCACAGCCAGTTTCTTCCATCTCGATATTCACGACATTTGCTTCGTTCGTTTTTAATAATTTAAGAATTATTATTAATTTAAAAGAGACTTTTACAATTAGAGAATTATTATAATTTAAGAGTGGCTATCCGGAATCTTGGAATTTTTATAATTATCCTTGGAATAATTTTACGTCTATTGCAATTACTTGGAATTTCCGTGAAACGTATGTACTTTGTGTAATTATATTTTATACATTGAGAGATCATCTTTTACTAATATTTTTTTTAATGTTAATGTAAATCAATCAATTTCCATCGAAGTTGGAATGATTGTACACTTGTATGTACACTTCGATGTTTCAAAAGCGAAGAATCTTTAATACTTTTAACACATCACCGGCAAGTTTGACAAGTTTTCGAATTAACGATGCGTTAAACAGAAATTTTTAATCGTGACAATAGGAACGCGAGACAAAAAGAAAAGAACTGAGGAAGTGGCAAATGTAAGACCTAACTTAAAGAACTTAAATTAATTACGCTGAATCCCAATTTGGGAATTTCGGAATTTTCCCTTTCGGGGGAGGGGGGGGGGGGGGGATTGGAATTGAAAAAGAAAGAAACGTTCCTCCGACAAATGAAAAAAAATTCTCCAACAGACTTTCAACAAAAATTCGACAAAAATTCTCCAAATAAACAAGAAGAGAAAAATAAATAAAATTCTTATCTAACCAACGAAAAGCAAAAAACAAACAAGCAAACAAACAAAAAAATGAACATTAAAAGAGAAAAATTCTCTAAAAATTCACGCACACAAAAAAGAAAAAAGAGAGAGAGAGAAACATTTTCCTCGAAAAGAGAAGAAAGAAACTCCCATAAATAAGAAATATTTTCCTCGATAAATATAAAACATTCGCTTCCTGCAGGTGTGACGCTGTTGTTGCGGCGAAAGTAACCAGGACGACGAAATAGAAACAGAAAGAAGAGGAAACGAGTGAAAAGAACGGAAGTGGCGGTAAGCGAGAATGATCGAGAGGGTAGGCCAGAGAAGATAGCCACAGTTAGAGGCGTGAAGTGGAATACAGACCGTTGTTCGAGGAGTCGTAGCGTCGCGACGGTACCATGGGCGACGCCGCGTGGTTGTTGCCGATGTAGACGGCCGCTGGCGATGACGGTGACGCGCCAGTCTGGCTGTTCTGGCTGTTGCTGCTGCTACCGCTGCTGCTACCGCTTCCTGCGCTGCCAGCTAGTCATGCAACCAACCAACCAAAAGACGAGCTACTGTCAGCCTCCGAACAGCTTCCTCCCGGTTCGCTTCTGGTCGCGTACACTTTTCATTTTTTCTTTCGTTTCGTCTACCGTCGTCGTTCGATCGTTGCACTCTCCTACGTCGATTCGAAGCAACAACCCTCAATCGTTCGACGATACGGAGTACACTTAATTTCGTACCTGATATCTATTCTATTTGAGGTGAATTCTGTTTCTTGGAATTCTGTTTCTCGTGCGACTCTCGTGGAACGTCGAAGAAAAGAAAATAGAATCTTGATAATTTTCATCGATTTTAACAGAGAGAGCGGAATCTGCTTTTCGAAAGCGATTCAGGAGAAATTTTGGAAGAAAGTTTCCGACTGATGTTACTAATGATGTTATTGGAATGTTTTTTTTAATACTACGAGACTTGAGTAAATTAGTTGGAAAAAAATTAAGTACTGTGTTAACGGGATAAGCTCAATACCCTTTTAGACTAATAATACTATTTATATTGTTTATAAATGTGTTCACATTATAATTTACAAGCGATCAAAGATAATCAAAAAGAAGAAAACCAGTTCCGCAAGTAAATGGTATAATATACCATCAATTTAGATTCACAGTCGTACACGAATGTAAAAGGAAATTGATTATTATTACTGCACAGAATCGTATCTTTCTTTAAGAAAATTATATGCCAGATTAATGGATGTACAAAAATATAAAAGACTACAGAGTATGCAGTTGCTTCGTTTTTTTTTTTTGTTTTTTCTTAGCAAAAACTTAGTGATATATTATTGAATAAATGGAAGCCTAATTTCAACACATTTAAATAAATTCATCTGAGAAGAAAGAAAAACAACATGTCGAAGAAGCGACAATATTTCCAAGTGACCTGTATTCCTCCGATATAAACGAGCCGATACTTCGAAACGAAACCTCCGCGAGAGTGCAACGAGTCGTCGTGTGAGAATACCAAAAAGAAGAAAACAAAGGGGGAAAAAAAGAAGACAAAGAGAGAAACAAAGAAAAAAAAGGCGGAGAAAAGAGAAGACAGAAGGGGGTAGAGAGAGAAAAAAAAAGAATTGGTAATCGGAAGCGAATAATTGGCAAGATGCAGGCGTTTACGACGTGGCCCGTGCGAACGAGCTTCAAACGAGTTGCAAAGTGTCGGACGAACGCTCTCGTTTCGATCGTTTCGCCCGAATCAGACGGTGCTGGGTGAAGCGTCGACGAGATTCCAACTCGAGAAAAAGAAAAAAGAGAAAAAGAAAAAAAAGAAGAAACGGAGACGAAGAATCGGAACGATCTCGCGAATTTTTCTCGCCGAATCTCGTCTCGCGGAGTGACTGATCCATTCAGAGGGAGAAATTGGAAAGACTTGCACTGTGATATAGACAGACTGCTCCAGTTTTCACGAAGTTTTCGCCAAGTGTATGATAAAGTTATTCGGTTGGTCAAGGAGATCGAATTTGAACGTTCGTCGAGTATATATCGAGCTGAACAAAAATCGATGAACGATCGACAGGTGAACAAGTGCGTAATTTTTCACGCGAAATGCTTTGTGTCCGAGGAAATTCAACGAAATGTAGGTTATTTTGAAAGGGGATTCAAACGAAAAAATATTCTATACTACCCGAGTTCTTTTCACTCTAATTTTTGACCCGCGAAACTTTTCAAATTGAATTTGTTTTTTGAGAACTTGGAAGTGTCTCAAAGGGAAAATATTTTGTATTGTTTATATTATAAATAATATTACATTTTATATTATTCATTATGATATTTTATAAATAATATTAATATTTGATATTTAAACAAATAATAATAATATAATTATATTTATATAAATATACTCTAATTTTTGATCCGCGAAATTTTTCAAATTGAATTTCCTCTTGGGAACTTGCAAGTGTCTCAAAGGGAAAATATTTTGTATTGTTTATATTATAAATAATATTACATTTTATATCATGCATTATAATATTTTATAAATAATATTGATATTTAATATTTAAATAAATAATAATAATATAATTATATTTATATAAACAATATTTTATATTACATATTGTATATTATATTTCACGGCTCTCTTTTATTTATTTTGGCACGTAGAGCAACTTTCTGTCGATCATTCACTCCTGTCCAGTTTAGAATCGATTCGAGCGAAGCTCGAAGAAAAAAAAAAAAATACTTTCAAACCCGATTTCCTCGAGAAATTTTCAAACGTCTTGAAGGAAGAGATATTATTTCTTTTCCTTCCGGTTCATTTATTAATGTCCATGAAAACTGGCCTGGTCCTACGTGTGTTTGTGCTCAATATCGAGAATCAAATTGGTGCTGTTGGTGGCTTCTGATGGTGAAAAATGGCGGGAAAATTAAAACACAAGAGAGAGAGAGAGAAGTGGCCAAAAGGGGAGGGCAGAGCAAGCATGAAAAAACTGAGCAAGTGAACGAATCCAAGGCGTCGCGAAGCGTGTGAGAGTGCTTCGATGATTGGTTATTGACCAAGCTTTTCTGTGTGGCCAAAAAAGGTAAATAATTATAGGAGAGAGAGAGAGAGAGAGAGAGAGAGAAAATCCAAGTCATGCTTCGACTCTAAGAGGCACTCACCGATTTCTGCCTAGCGAGTCGGTCTTCCGTCTTGTTTCTGCATTTGGTAAATTGTAATTGTATTTTCATTGCTCGTGTGCATCACGAACTTGGCATTGTTTAATTGTTTTTTGGTACACAAAGTGGCTTAATGCCCGAAGGACCATTCAGAATTTAAAATTGCGAAACTGACGTTGTCACGTATTAAATAATTAATACTTAACTGGTCTCTTCAAACATTGCAAGTCTATTGAACAATTTAGAGAACAATTTCTATTACGAAGAACGTGAAATGCAAACGCGAGGAAACAAAACATTCAGAAATGAAGATTAATTATCGCGATGGAGATTAATTTTAATATTAACAGGAAATAAAATGTACTTTGCAGTTCCAACATTGAGGAACTATTCTCAGCTTGCTTCGAACGTTCGTTTAAAGTAATTTTAATCAAAGTCGAATGTCGGCTTATTTCTGGGGAAAAAACGCAAATTTCGTTTAAAGTAAAACGAAAAATACTCGGATCACAAAGCAATGAAAGAGACTCGTTCGAAACATCTCTCTCGTCACAGTTTGGCCCTTCAAGCATCGCGAAACGATAGAATCATTCTCGTTCGAGGTAAACGAAATATATCTTTCACAAAAGTTTCCCAAAAAGATCTTTCCTTGAAGCATCGGTGAAAACATAGAAGGAGATAAGACGCGAGGTTTCTTTGTTTTCGATTCGAGGCAGAAACGGGTTCGACAGAAAATCTTACCGATTCGTCGTTTGGGGCTCGTCGCTTGGATTTCAGTATCCTTGCCTCGTGTCCTGCGCCACGAAGGCGCATTTCCGATAATAGCCGCAAAGGGAGTCTGCAATTTCGCAGGCCCGTGCTGGGACCGATCGTAAAGAAACTTTTATTCGCCGATAAAAAAAAAAAAAAAAAGAAAAGAAAGAATGACAAGAGAAGCACGAACGACGCTTGGTAATATCGCGAACGAGGCTTCGATTATTCTTGTCCCCGTTTACGTTCGCATGAAACGTAGGGAAAAAAAATGGCGAGAGAGAGAGAGAGAGAGAGAGAGAGAGAGCAAAAGTTTTCCATTATTCCTCCTCGTTCATCTTTTATTTACGTCACTTAAACTGCGTTTGTTTTAGTCTCTTGTTTGTCTCTTGTTCCTTTAGAAATTTCTCGATCGAGATTACGTTTTCTCGGGTTCCTTCGTTCATTCGAGCGCGAATCGACTTTCTTGTCGAAGCGGGCAGGACAGGCTTCGTAGTGATCGACGCGCGATTTTTTTCTCGTCTCTTGGACAAACAGAGAGAGAAAGAGAGAGTGCTTTAGTGTGTTTAGTGCTTAAACACATCAAGTTTCGGACCAGACAACTAGTTCTAAGAAAGATCTTCAACCTAGAATTCAGAATTCTAAACAAGAGTGCTTTTCAATTTAGAATTTGGAATTCTACGCAAGAAGAAGTTTTTAGACTCGTCTGGATTTCCCCAATGAGCAATTTCTGCACCGTGATAGAATACATCGAGACACAAACTCAATTTCTGCGTGGCGTTTCCTTCTTTTTCGAAATAACAAGACACCAGCAGAGTAAAGATTTAATTTTAGAAACGTGGAATATCTCTTTAAGTTTTGTTCTTCACAGATACAAGGTGTATTGTCATCGAGTACAAAGAAATACGCGGATAATTTCTCGTTCTTCTTCGTTTCTATCCTTGAGAAACGACGAGAGAGAGAGAGAGAGAGAGAGAGAGAGAGTTGAAGCGATTGACGCTGGCGTAGGCGGAAGTGACAAAAACTTTCCTGCAACGCGAGAGTCGGAAGAACGGTAGAAACGCGAAGACTCATGGTCGAAAACGCCATAAACGACAGGAAGTGAGCATTCTCTCTACTCCTGTCACGCAGCTTGAAAAATATTACACTAATAACTAAAATGATAAATTGCTGCTTCTGTTGGTCAACTTAGATCATGGCACGTATGACTTTGACAGTTTGCAATGGAGATTTATAAAATTCCTTTTCTCGATGAAATAGAAATTCGACACTTTGAAGTAGTGGATGGTAATTAAGATATTGGAAATTTTAATATTAAATTATGATTAATTATAATTTATAATAAACACTTTATAAGTAAGTATTTGTTAAGTATTTAGAGAAGCTGCAGACACTATAGATTATAGAATTCGTCATGTTAAATATTGAACAGATATTGTGGCGACAAGAAAGAAATTTAATGTGTATCGATAAAATTGCAAAGTACCAACAATTGTCCTCTCTTTTCCATTCGTTTCATTCAAATATTCTGTTTTTTACTCATATCTTCTTAAGATACAGTTTTTCACTTTTGATACTCATGCCACAAATATATCTATAACTATATGTAGCATAACAAGCATAATAGAGAATGATATT